TTTTTATTATATTGCTGTTAATATAACTGTATGTTCATTGACATGAACACATAGTTATATGTATTGTATCTTTGTATCTAAGCATATATCTGTGCATATTGTCCATGTTCATATTGGTGTGCTTTTTATATAGGCATAACTTTAGTCCTCCCTACGTGAGCCCGTGTTTGCGCAGAAGGACATACACGTGTACATATCCTAATCTATTTTTTTAGGTTCAGTTTATATAATCCTGAAAATAGCAATACTTTTCCCAATATTGCGTACTGATAGTATTACGTAAAGGTTCGTGCTTCTCTAGCTGACCTACTTGTCAGTCAGCTAAATGTAAGTTGGTTGTGCATGTGTAAGTTGGTGGTATGTACTTACACAATGTTGGCGAATATGTAAGGTGTAAGGTGGTTGTGTGGTGGTTGTGTATGCGTTATATAGTGTATCGGATATACACAATTATAGTGCATTGCAATTGTGTATTGATGGTTTGCCTGTAAGTTAAAATGGAACGGTGACACATTCTCAGCACTATTATAGTCTTTTAATGATATCCACAATTCATGTAGTGTACTTGGTAGTAAGTATCAATGAATGTAGTGTACTTGGTAGTAAGTATCAATGAATGTAGTGTACTTGGTAGTAAGTAGTGTATTTGGTAGTAAGTATCAATGAATGTAGTGTACTTGGTAGTAAGTATCAATGAATTTAGTGTACTTGGTAGTAAGTATCAATGAATGTAGTGTACTTGGTAGTAAGTATCGATGAATGTAGTGTACTTGGTAATATGTATCAATTCATGTAGTGTACTTAGTAGAATATCTCAATATATATTATATGTATCAATGTCTGTAGTGTACTCTGCCGTATATATCAATTCGTGCAGTGTACGTGGTAGTATTTATCAATTCATGTGTTGTACTTGGTAGCATCCGCAACATAAACCACACACTCACATCCTCATGCAACACCCCTGTTGTCGGTGGCTGTTCAAATATGCCCAGGCTTTGCTTACTCTCATACCACCGCTTCTGCACAGTCCGTTAGCCGACTGCCTCGTGCTTAATATCATCCGCTATCTCTATCCTGGTTGGTTCTTGTGTGTGTCTCACACATCACGTGAGCTATGATACAGTCTGTGTGTATCCCTATCCTTATAGCTGTTCACGAGCCTAGGCGCTCTATGGTCACCGAGGTATGTACTGCGGCAGTCTGAACTGTACTATGGACTTGCGTAACCATTCTGTATATAATCCACTACCCACTCACCTGCCTTGGTTGGCATTGGCTGTTGATATGCATCTATACACACATATACATATTTATACAGACGTTTGCCGAGGCTATGTCCAAGATGGGCATCAATTCAACCGATGAGATAGTGGTGTACGATACTGTGGGTACCATGTCATCCCCACGCACGTGGTGGGCGCTGCGAGCAATGGGACACACCCGGGTCAGTGTGTTGGATGGAGGTAGGTAGCATGTGCTTGGTCTGTAGGTAGGTATACGGCCACACGCATACATACTTGCGTAGTTTGGTGTTTGTAGCTGTGTAGGTGATACACGTGAACATGGATGTATTGGTGAGTAAGTCATAGCGGGAGATAGTAGTGTATGGGCTATGCGATCCATGGGCCTCTCACGTGTCACTGTGTTAGATGCAGCATGTTGTGTTTCTTATATATCAGTGAATGTCTGTACATAGTTACAGCTCTATGCATATATATATATATATGTGTGTGTGTGTGTGTGTGTGTATGTATATAAATATATATA